TGGCAGGGCAGCCATCCGTGAGTTGGCTTCTGATTTCCGAACTTGCTCGACTTCTTTCTGGAAGCCTTAGAATGATCGAGCACCTGAGCAGTCGGAAGAGTTCGGACACTGTGAGTTGGTGACGCAGGAGCCCTATACCCAGATCCTGTTGCTGCTGATTACGGCGACGATGATGATGGTGGTGATGATGATGATACCGTGATGATACGGTCGGCGATGGTGCTGCTGCTGATGATGCTGGTGATACTCATGTTGTTGTTGATGGTGATGATACTGATGAAATCATGTTAACACAGATACCGGTTCTGACCAATACAACAAGACCACAGAAAGGCTAATCAGGACAAGGAGCATGACATGATGGTGCACGGATCTTCCTGCGAGTAGCTTTGCCAAGCCTGCTGCCCAGAGCGAGGATTTGCGACCGAAGTATGCCCGCGTGGAGGGTGAGGCATGATCCACAAGTTGCAACTTGCAGCTACCACGCGCTAAGCGTCACTAAGCTGATAACGTCAGGCCGCGAGCGATAGAGACACTTGTCACTTGAAGAGTGCCATGAAAGGTGGATATAGGGTTCGGGCTCGAGGCACAAGAGGATTCTACAGCAAAAACTGAAACGGGAGCCGCACTCGTAGATGACTGCGCGCTTCGAATCTAGAGCTGAAGGTGCTTGCTTTCAGAAGTCAAGCTAGCGACACCAAAAAATTGCAGTCGCATCGCACTGGATTCCTACATTGATCCTAGCAGCCGCAGACAAGCATCGCCGTACTGGCGGGAACACTCACATCTTAGCTTGCCTTGGAACTCAGGCTGGACTTGTCCAACTGTATTTGTAGACCCTTAAACTTAGACTTTCTGGTGTGATCTGCGTTGCCAGCCTAGGGCCGAAGCCCCAAGGGTCACCCCCCCAAGCCCTGTACGGTACAGGTCCCGCGGCCTGGCCTGGGAGATCTGTTGTCGAATTCCAATCCAAACCATGAGCCTACATCCCCTATTTCCGGAATCGGAAAGGCAACCGCAAAAGCAACAGTTCTCAAAGGCCATGAAATCCCAAGCTCTCAGCGGAGCCGGCATACGTAACTTATTGCAGCAAATTGAAAAATGGCAACGAAAAAGCACGACCATGCTATCCGGAGGTCGAGACTCTGTGGCAGCGCCCTACCACAGAACCGAAAGGCAGTGGGGGAATCTGATTCGGGCTTCTGGCTTAGTTGTTTCGAGGGTTGCAAGGATTTACAGCGCTTCCAGCAGGTTCGAATCAATCATTGTTTCTGTGGTTTCTCTTGCATGCAATTTAATTAGTAAGGCATGCCACTGCACATAAAGAGTACATTGATAGCAGCACATGAGGACGAGTGCTGAAAGGCGTGAGTGCTAGGGATGGGCCAGTCAATCTAGGCGCTGTATTCTTATCCGATATGTAAACCGGAAACTGACACCCTAATCACTCCCTGCAGTGTGCACATGCTCGAGGTTTTTCAACAGAGCTAGAGTCTGCAAACAGCCAACCATCAGACTCCATTGAGCTTGGGTTGGTGCTGGGATTTGAAAGTAGTGCATCAGGATTTCGAAATTGGAAGCTGCGTGCGTTGTTGGCAGGGTTTTGTCAAACCGTGCCGACGCTTGTAGTGTGGCGGTCCAGGCATCTTCTTCATCGCCCACGGTTGCCAACACCAGGCAACTGATGTGTTTGACGAGGCCCGATTGCGAAGCTCGCTGTAAAATCTCAAGCCCAAACCTGAAAGCTCTGAGTGGTTGTCGGTTGTGCAGAAAATCGGATTCAGGATGCATGCTCAGGGTTTTAAGTGTGTCCGGAACCCCACAACTCCGCCCCCTGCACTGAAACTTTAATAGGCCTTCAAGGAGGTGCCCCACCCTCGGCTTTCTTCTCCAAGATCAAGGGCTACTGCATTTTCAATCGAGGTTGTTGTTGTACAGCTCCACAATCTTGGGATTCTACCCTGTCGGCCATTGTAGGGGGCTTGGATCCCTGGAACAGCAACTAATCCAAGCCGCAAGCAATAGATTCAGCCAGATTCTATCTGTTTCTCCCAAGGCACTATCACTTGTCAAGTCGTCCATCACTCTACATATGTAGACATTAACAGCAGTCTCGTCCGAACAGTTTGTAAGGCTGCCTGTGGGTTCTGCTTCTGTCAACGTCTTGCGGCCCTGCTTTGAATTTCAAGAGCCTACCCTCAAGCAGGAATAGAGCTCAGCATAAGCCCTCACACTCCACCAATGTGTCCTCTTTTGATGGAGGAGTTGTTCTATCCACCTCCTTGGTCTCGAACGGTCCTTTGCACTTGAGATCCTCTGAAGAGGCAGTCTGCTGTAAAAGAAATCATCGCAGCTTCATCGCAGCTCGATGCTCGACTGGTTCGTTGCCTGTCAGTTGAGCATCTAGCAATTCAAGAGTCGGCTTGAATGGCAGCTGCTCAAACATTTCGCATACGGGGCGTACGGCTCGGAAGCTAGATCCTCGGGACAGTCCACAAATGAAGCTCTCTGAAAACGATTACAACTCACTCCTCGGGACAGTAGTCCACAGTCCCAGCTCTCTGAAAACGTTATGACCACAAATCATCACAAATCACTTAGGTGCCGCAAGGGGTCTTTGGCGACTCTGCACCCGAATTCCTGTACCTTCAACCAAGAAGTTGTCAGGTGGCAGAAGACGGTTGGAAGTTTGAAAGCTGCGCTGCTCGCATCTCATAGCAAAACGTTCTGTTCTTGCGGTGGGCCCCGGGACGTCTTCTGGTTTTTGCTGCACGGCTTTGGGCTATCAACTTGGTGGACAATGCCGACAATGCCTGTGTGAGGTTCAGGATGCAGGAATGCTTAGGCTTGTGGGTTTGGGGTTTGCGGATCTTGGTTCGTGGCTGAGCTTGCCGGATTGCAGGTTCACGCTCAAGCCGCAAACCTGCCTAACCTGAATCCTGAGCCCAGGCGACCTCCAACTATGGCAAATGCCTTGGTCTGCCGGAGGAGGCTCAACAACCCGGACCCGGGCGCATGGTTTGCGACGCAGGATGATTGCGTTGTTACGGGGTTCCGGGGTTTGCGGGTTTGGTTTCGGGACTCGGGTTTTGGACTGCGCGGCTTGAGTTTGCAGTTGTGAAGGGTTCTTTTGAGGCATAATTGGGCCTGGTGCCGCGGTCTCCGCGCATGTTGTATGATCTTCAGGAACCTGTAGACCCGATCGCCGAATCAATCGTCGCCATTTCTGTAAGTTTAATGCCGTCATGAATCTCGAGCTTACATGCCAGGGGATCTTGCGCCGCTATGCCCTCAAGAGGGGTTACGTGCCCTGATGCATTGGATTGTCGGATGGAAAGTCTCGCCGGGGTAGTTCATGTGTCATGGGATGGTCCGAATATTCAATGCCGTGGCGCTTCTCTTCAATGCGGTTATAAGGTAATGAAACGAAAGCATGACACAAAAAAGCAAAAATGACAGAAGAGAAATGTGGAATGAACGGTTAGAACAAAAGGGAGCGAAGTGCATATGAAGAAAGCACGCACTTATTTCTATTCATTTTGTCTTTATTCACATCACTTCGTTCCTTTTGCACCTAACCTATACTGACGTTCCTGATGGTGAGCTTAGCGAGCGGACAAAGAAGCCGAGATACGAGGGTTCGTTCCCCAAGGTCCAAAATAAGAAAAGGAAGCGATCTTGCTCCCCTTCGTTAAAAATAATATGAGACCTTTGTTCAGTCCTCATTGTACAACTGGAAGGCAAGGAAGCATCACTCATTCTCTTTTGCTTTATTAAAATTCAATGAAAGCAGCGTGATGTTAATGAAGCAAAAGAGCAAGTGAGTGCTGCTTTCCTTATTCGTGTGCTTTATTTTAAATAGTTAATTAAAAGAAAACAAGCACTTCATTTGTTTTTTCTTCATTAATTAAAAGAAGCACGGAAAGGGAACAAAAGAAGAGTGAAGAGAATGAGGAACGAAAGGTATGTTCTTTTCTTTTTGATGGATCATTCCTCACAGAATTCCCTCCACCGCTCTTCACAACAAGGAACCAAAATAACAAAGAATAGGTACTGGATGAATGAAGTGAAGAAAGCACGCTTTTCTTACTATTTTTGTGCTTTGGTGTGAGCGAACAAAAGACCCACATTAGTAAGGAAAAGAAAAGGAACGCATGCTTTCCCTTGTTAATTTGGGCCTTTTGGGTCTTTCCGTTTGTTCAATTAAAAGGTAAGGGAAAGAAAGGACGCACGCTTTTTAATTGAAGCAAAAGCACAAAACAAATGGGAAAAGTTGTGCTTGTTTACACATTAAATTTTATGCTTGCCCTTGTAATTGAATTAATAAAATCCCGCACAACATTGTTGTATGTCGAATATTACTTGGTACCTTCGCGATTCCGAAGGTTTACAGGAATTAGACGAAAGACATAATTATAAGATTTACAAGTGTTTGCTCCAACATGACAGCCTTAATGTCGCCCAAAAGGGAAGGTAACGGCAAAGGTAACAAGAAAGAGGTACTGAATAGAACAGAAACTTACCATGAAGGAATCAGACACGGAAGGGAGAATGAAGGGAAAAGGTCGAACAATGGAAGCGAATGGTAAGTTCACGTATGCTTTCATTTGCTTTGTTTAGTTCTTTTCTCCTTTCATTCGAATCTTGACTGGTGGTTTACCGTTGTGAGTCAAAGGCCACGTAAAGCAGCTTGATAAGGTCTTCGACAATGGGGTGAAAAGTTAGTTTCTGTCGTCTTGGGCTGTAGAGAGCCATCAACGCAGATGCTGGGCCCGCCAAAGCCTGAGAACTCGAGATCAGCCAGGTCCCCAAAATTGTGAAGGATCTTTTCCTTTACTGACAACTGCCCGTAAACACAGAGATCTCAGGCCACAAGACCCTGAGGGGGCGGTGCAACTGCAGACCCCTTAACCCTAAATCCCCAGCCGCCCGAGCATCCTCAACTCGAAACACGAGCTCCACATTTCGTTTGCCGGGAGTTTGTTCAGTTTTTGTCTCAGGTAGTCATGGCCGTCTCTGGTGGAAGCGGCGTGCGCAGCTGCTGGTGCTCCCGGGATCTAGGATCGGTCTCGGCTTGGATGAAGGAACTTAGTCAATGGCTTGTACTTGGACTTTAACTTATTGATCTTGGGCTGGAAAGGATGTTTGTATGGGATCGCAACTTGGCTTCGACGGCTGAGAAACAGAAATGCTGGCGTGTGTCAAAGAGTTGGTGGCGCAAGCAAGCCTTCGTGCTCTCGATCAAAAGCCCGCAGCTTTACGTAGTCCTAATCCCAAGTTTTTTGCCGGATCAATACTGTATACCTGCATCGCCACCAAATTACTTGCAAAAGCTTCCCGGCAGGTACGGCCAGAGAGACGTCACCAAGGTGGGGAACGTAGGCGGGGTTGATCTATTCCCTTAGCTTTAGGTCTTTAGGTATAGGGATCAGGTTGGTTGTGACGCCACAGGGTATTTGAGCGTCTATCGGCATCAAGCCAGAGCTGTGTTCTACTTAAAGCACAGTAGCATGTGAAGCTTCGAATTGGAGTATCCATTGCGCTGTCAGGCTGGAGACAGCATGGACACGTTACTGGCTTTTGAAACTCTGCAAGGTTCTCGGAACTCGGATCGAATTCCGACTCAGAAATCTGACAATTTCTTATAAGAAACCCTTGCAACTGGTTAATGTCCGAAACCCAAGCCCTGACAGCAAAAACAATAAAGTGCGAAACAGTGGCTTATGATACTCTGACAGGTTCGCGGGCCAAAAAAGGGTTCCCGCAGCCTTAAATTTGGAGCCTTTGATGCATCGCAGAGCCAACATTTTCTTCAAACCTGAACACTAGACTACGCCGTAACGCACCCAGAGATTGAGCCAGACGCTTGCACTCCTGTCTTGCAACCCGAAGCCCAAATCTTCGGAGCATCAACTGAGGTGGGTGCCGCCGTGCGTCACATCAGGAAGGTCGAGAAGCTCTCAGAGTGCCTCAACGAAGTTTCTTGCTGTGTGAAGGTCGGGCTTAAGTTTAGGGTTCACACATAGACGATGAAGACTTCGGCAGTGGGACGGTTCAATTCTGCCAGGGGTGAGTGTCTTAGGCTCAGTGCTGAAGGGTAAGGACTTGAAATTTTGAGGTGTATGGTGACGTGTTTTCTAGCTTCTGCTCAGGGAAGCTTTGGGATGGTCACACGGTGTCCCTAGGCTACAGGGCTGTTTGAATCCAGGGTTCAGAGGTTAGGGGAGATTTTAGGGAGTTCCAGCTCCCTTGCTGTGGCCCAACATGCTCTGGTCTGAGTGCACTCTGCCGCGTTTTTTGCTGATCATCAGAACGACGTCGGTGTGCAACATGAGTGGCTGTTGCATTTTTGATGCTGGATGCACGCTTGCATTTGTCATGTTATGACATCTTCGCCGCTCGCGTTGGCCTTTGGAATTTCCAACTGCAGCCGACTCATGTACTTCATCCACTGCTTTCCGCGTCCCTAGAGGTCAGATTCGACATCTTGCTCAGGTGAAGGCACAGCTGTGCCAAGGCATCGCATCTTTGTTTGTACGAATGTGTTTCACTCATCTATCTATCCATCTACCTATCGATCTATCTATCTACCTATCTATCGTGGTCCGATAGATAGATGGACAGATAGGTAGGTAGGTAGGTAGGTAGGTAGGTAAGTAGGTAGATAGGTAGATAAATAGATCAAACAGACAGGTGGGTAAGTAGGTAGGTGGGCAGGGGGAGGTAGTACATTCGTGCTCCGCCCTCCGCCTTCTTGACCTGCCACCGACCGATGATCGTGAACCGCGTGTCTGTTGACACACATGTATACAATACGAGCGGAATCTCCGCACAGTTCAATGCAAGTGCACCGCAACCAAGGAATCTTCCTTTGCTGGCACTTGGCGCTTCCTCCGGTGGTGCTGCTCGACTGTGGTTTCGGGCGGGCATGGTGCATCAAGCTGAGGAAGACTCAATCTTTGTGAGAAGGATGGGATTTGATCTGTGCTCTATTCCTGACCCGGCCTGGCTGCTTTATCGGTAAGGAGCCCTGTGGTGCTGTCTTCTAGGTGGCCAGAGCATCTCGCATTTCCCCTTCATGCAAATGTTTTTTTTGCGTGAGGTGGCACATCATTTGAGCTAGACCTCGGATCACAGGTTTCGTTGTTTACTCTTTATTTTGTCATCATCCAAGCTAGTCCACAACAAGCTCAACACCCGGACCTTCGTCCACACCTCGTCATAGAATTTCTGGAATCGTAGCCCCAGACCTGGATGCTTACGCTCCAGGCCAAAACACATACCCAACCCTCAAACAACCGAGCAATGCCGCCCAAAGACGAGCCAAGAAACAAAGATGTTCAAGTCCCAATCGACGATGTCACCCTCCCTCCTGGAAACTTAGCTGGCAGACGCCTGACTGTGGGGGCTCAGGGCTAGGTTCCCGTTACGGCTATCACGATAAAGGACAAGCAGTCAGCAGATTCTCAAGGTGCTAGAGTTCGGATTCCATGATTCCATGTTCTTAGGTTCTGGTGGAAGTCCGCTTGCCGAGTTTTCATAATCATCTTCGTCTTCTCGCAGTAAGGTTCAGTGCCCGGTGTCAACCCAGAAACGATACTGTACATCCAAGGCATTCGTGGGCTTGCTGCCTGGCGCGGATGCATCGGTTGGACTCGGGAAGTTGTGCCTGAACTTGCCATTGAGCCTTTGGGATGTGGAGTTTCGGTATGTCGAGTGTAGCAACTCGAGCATAGCAACATGTGATCTTGTGTTCGAGAAGGGTTGGGGTGCAAAGGTTAGATGTTTGGTGCCTTGTGGTGGATCTGTTCGTATGCCGTGGAGGTTTGTTCCGGTGTTGTGTTTGGTAAGCTCAGGTGTTCAAATTGCAAATACGTGTCAGGTTAGATCGTGATGTGCTAAGAAACAGGCACGTGTTGCTTCTCAGGCAAGGAAGGATTTGCTATTCCACTTCAAAGACAAGTGCTAACCGCTGCTAACCCTTGCACATCCCGAGCTGTTCTAACACGCCCAAAGCCCCAACAATTGTTACGCAGCAAGTAAAGCTTGTCTAAGCCCCGCCTGCTTGAATTTGTGGCTTTTTGGTTGAGGTTCCGAAGGGAAGCATAGAAGGCGGCGTCGGGTTTGGAGCTGGCTCGAGTTGGAGCTGGCTTGAGATACTGTGTCTCAGCGATTGGGAAGTTTTGACCCGAGTTCCCGGAATGAGGCAGTGCATCGTCCCGGAGATCATGGATGTCGACAGCAGCATCAACGACGCAGTTCCGACTCTGTTCGTTCACATGCCAAGGCTGCAAGCATCTTAGGCCTTCAAGGGTTCACTCTGTAGGCTCCCCGGACCATGAGGGAGGGTGGGTGGGTGGTGGTCACCCGCCCCCCACCCCTTAGCTTGAAGCACCACAACATTGAGAACTCTTGACGGTGGCTGTTTGGGGTTCTTCTCGAACCCAAAACGCTAGAAGCTGGTGCCTGGAGTAATCTCAAAAACTTGAGCCTGCTGAGCCACTGCAGGAGGATCTTATTATTTGTGATTGCTGTGCTGTACCAGTGTCGGATGCAGGGTTTCTCACTGCTCGTGAGGTTTGGGCTTTGGTGCGGGGCTTCGGGGTTGGAGTCTCCGAGCTAGCCACCCGCATGGATGCCATAGAATGGCCGGGTAAGGAGCAAGAGGTCTGCTCATGTTCAGCATGCTGCATGACCCTGGAGACTGGGACATGCACTTGTCAAGTTGCAGGGCCGGAGTTCTAAACTCATTCGAAGTGAAAACTGGGAGTCATGTGGAAACTCAAAGCCCAGCCTCGGCAGGGATGAGCGCACTGCATCCTTTGTGGCGGACAGTGTTGCTGACCTCACTTCTCGGGGAGTTCGTGTGAAAGAGCTGCGTCGCTTGACTCTAAGCAGATCGGTGCTTACAGGAAAAACATGGAAGTGTATGTGGACGGTTCTGATTGACTGGTGTGTATCCGTGTTTTAGGCGGCGAAGTCATAGGAGGCTAAGTCAAGTTTCAGAAGCAGGCGGAAGCAGGCGTAGCTTAAACCGAAGCGTCCGGGCATCTGGCTACTTCAGCTCAAGTCCTTCTTCCAGCCACAGATGACCAAATGCAAGTAAACCCTCGGCCTGGAGTCTTTCGATCTTGGCTCGGAGTTTGACAGAGTGCCAAACCCCAGAGAAGGAATCCACCTTTTTTGCAAATTCGCTCTTGCTGTTCGGGCTGTGCCGGGGAACAGAGGAGACGAGACCTGTTGGCCACTGGCCGAAAACAAAGAAAGCCGGAATTACACTTCGAAGCCCCAACTGTCCAGCCCTAGCGAGGCGTCGAACCTCGCCCGCTTACACCTGCGCCGCTCGGGCCATGCACGCGAAAAGCTAGGACAACTAGGCTCGGATATTGGTTCAGGATTTCAGTGCTTTGGGTGCCCGAACAATTGGGGTTTTGGGAGTCTATGATGCGGCTTGAGGGGAAGACTTGTCCATATTCGAGTGTTGGTCTGGTTTTCTGTCTTGAGATTGCGGCTTATCTGAAGCACAACACTTTGAATCCACGATTTTGCTTACTTGTTGTGGATTCGGGTTTGGGCTTGTGGCTCCGGGCCAAGGAGGTGGCATGAAGCTTAGTTGGCTTGTGTTTCGGGAACTAAATCGGTACGCCACCCTATTGCCAATTGCCCGATAAAAGCTTCGACTCAGGCTTTCGACAACTGGCCACGTCTGCCTCCCTTTGTCTGAATGTCACGACGAGGTTCCTCCAGAGTTGCCTCGCGGAGACGGATGCGACAAAGCTGGTGACAGCCCTGCAGGACTTCACACATCGGCAGACCCGGCAAAGCCTTAGCAAGCAACTCCTAAAACCGCAAATCCTCTCCCTAGGTCCTAATCGATGTAGCGAGCCGAGACCATGAACTTGAAAGTCAAATCGGGCATCTCGGCCTCAAAAGCTGGAATTCATACACGCTGTATGTACTACATCTGAAGATTGGAGACATAGGTCACGGGTCACAAGTCCTACAACCTACGATGTTGGTCTCGAGCACCAAGCTTACCAGCCCCATTGCCAGGATCATTCCGTCCTGGATTCCAAGGGCTTCCTGCTGTCCGATGCCAGGCTAGCCCGAGTGTGCTCACGCCGGACTCCTGACTTTGAGCGCAGGGCCCCGGATCTTTCGTCTTGAGGGTCTAAGGTTTTGATGAACTTTAAAGAAGCTGCCAAAACGATTCGGTACTAAGTGCGGCAATGTCCAGCCTGATGAGAGACCCAACTCCAGATGTCAGAGCCCGTCCCGTCCTAAACCCCGGAAGCACAATCCAGCATGCTCCTAATCCAGCGTGTTTGTTTGCATGCTGGCCCTGAACTTGTATGTTCTAGGGCTGTATCAGATTGAAGGGCGTGGGGCTCCCTTGCCAGCTTTGCAACAAGCTTGAATCGCTTTGCTCTGCTCTGCAGCGCAGGGGTCGAGAGTGGGTGCCTGCAGCCCTGGAAGCGCTGCCCAATAGCTACCAAGCCTGACTACGAGGGTCTACAAGGATTCTTTTGGATTTGGACTGTGGCAACGCGCTTCGAGTGGAATGGCTTGGACTCTTCGCCGACAATACCTACCCTAAACGCCCTATGACCTAAACCTCAGCCTCCGAGTCCCTTGCTGTGGCTTCGTCGACGCTTTCAGGTTTGAGACGATCAGCCATAGGCGGTGGTGTGAAAGGGTGCACGGCTTCGTGCTACATTCTCACTTCGGGGGCTTGGGTATCCCCACCAGACTCTGTGCACTAGGGTTTCGGGTTTATCACACACTCTCGGAAAGCACAGCGCGCACCTCAATACAGCCTGCTCTTTACTACTCTTAGCAGTGTTTATGTTGCTACTTCCACGTCTCAAACGCATGCCTATCACGTCTGCCCGTACTCTTGTGCACGTGAGAGCTGCACAACAGCCATCTGAGGCCTCGACTCCTTCAAGCCAGACGCATCCTGCCTTGCCGAATTGCCACTTCGCCTGTGAAATTTCCAGTTTCTAGGTTCGAGGCTGAGGACTGGATTTTGGGTCAACGGCTTCGGGTTAGCAGGGCTTAGGGTTTGGGAAGACGCACGTGGAGCGCAACAAACAGCGCTAGTGGAGGTCGTTGTCGTGGTGGTCGTGGCGGTACTGGCACAGGTACTGGTAAGAGTGGTATAGAGTCGTGGCAGCAGAGGTAATTGAGTAGCAATGGCAGCACTTAGGAACGGAACGGTGACAGTGCTGTTTGCAACTGGAATTGCAAAGATGAAAAGAGAGCCCCCATAGAAAGTCTTCAACGGCAACAAAGATTACAAGTAACAAGCCGGAGAAGCAGAAGATGAATCCAAACAGGGATCGGCTCGAGCCTTGCATTCACCAAACACGCTGCAACTCGGATTTCACAGGTTCGGATTGTGGGGGGCTTAGACACGCTGACTGCTGCAGAGGCATGGCCCAAAGCAGTTTCCTTCCTTCTCAGGGGAACTTCGCTGCAGGGGCACGCTGGTCCTTCACAGACCAGAACACAAATATGGCGATCTCACGGCTATCAGACCCTGAAGCCAGGCCAAGCACCTCGACTCCTAGACTTTACCTTACAAAGCCGTGCGTGCCATTGTAAGGTACATGCCATTTTCTAGATCCAAAAAAGCCGGGACCCCCATGATCCAAGGATGAATGTCGCTTGGGCAAAGCATGAGTTCTCTGCGCAGTATGCCGGGGCCCAGGTCGCTTCTGAATCTAGCATGGCTGTTGAAGAAGAGCCTTTTGTTGCGGTGTTCGGTGTGTTGGCTGTAGGACTCCAAAAAATCAGTGTTGTATTGCCTATAGACGTATGCCTGAGATTCAGGACTATTGAGCTGTGCGGCGGGATTTCAGTATCTTGATGTGATTTTGGGTTTGGGTTTCCTGAAGAAGTTCGATATCGCAGCAGAGAGGGATTGCTGAATAAATGAATGCACACAGTACTGGGCTTTGGCAGGATCATGACGTTAGTCAGCAGACGTTAATCAACATACGCGAGCAAACCACTTGCTGCGCTCATGAGTGTTGACACTTGGCACAATAAGGGACGTGACGCAAGTGCAAGTCGCTTGCTGTCTTCATCTAAGCATCTGAGGCAAAGGAGATCTTCGACTTCTGCGAGGACAAGGGCGCTCAAGAGCCTGTGTTCGCGGAGATGCCATGCCCTTACGGTAAGGGGTGCTGCAAGTAAAGCCGCTTCATTGCTTTTTCGGGTTGGGCTTGAAGGGAGTTCAATAAGAAGGAACCCAAACAATCTAGGACCTTCCATGGCTCCTCTCCCCGTACTATCGAACCGGATCTTGGTCCTTGTTCGACAGTTCTTGGGAGAAGTTCCCCTTGTTCAATTTTGCTGGCTGGTACTGGTTTGGCCTCTGTGTTTAGTGTGTAAGCTTTTGCTTGTTGGAATGTTGCAAGGTGTCCTGCAAGTGTCGTGAGGCATTCTGGAGCGGGAGTTGTGCTTCAGCAGGGATACACCCGGTTTTGCAGCAGAGTTCACCTGTTATTGAGATGGAAATTCTGGCTGATTGTGCCGGCAGTGAGCAGTTCAGGTGTCTTCAGGAGAATTCGCAGCAATGATAATGGCTTGGACCACTTGCGCGCTTCAGGCAAGATGCCCCCGCGGACGAAGGCAGCTGGAAGACTCGTTTCGGGAACATGGAGGCCACCTCCTTGTAAAGATTGCTCGCAGCTTCGTTCTCCCTGAGGTGTTGCACCTGCTGTCAATATCTTCAATGTTCCAGTACCGTCTCACCCTCTCGTTCTCAAATTCTACCGCAGTGCCTGGTTTCTCAGTCGCACAGAAGAAGAAGAGGCAACCGTGCTTGCTTTGCTATGTGTTCTGGAATTGGTGGGACTGGTCGTCTGCCCACTGCTGTTTCGCAGCTAGTTTCAGAGATCGCTGATAGTATCCCACACAGACAGCGGCTCTTCGAAAACGATGCCTGCATCCTCTACGGCATAAGACAACACCTGGCACTTTGGACACCGAACCCAAGCACGAGTTGTCTTTGGTCCCTGTGTGTGTGCGCCAGGTATTCGAGTTCGGCGCTGCTTCACACCCACTGGCCATTGCACTTCCGGGCAGCTCGCCCCATTCGCCGGGCTTGAAGACGGTTCTTTAGAGCCACATTCGCACAAGATCGAGTCCCTCGCGTACCTCTGTCTGCCCGTGCACATAGTACACAAGCTTCGGGCGAGGGCTTGGGGGCGCGGCCTAGAAGCTGTCAGGTTGAGGCCGGGAGGAGAGGGTTCTTGTCTGGGGGCTCGGTCTCGCTGGCTTCAGAAAACACGATTGAGCTGTCCTTCCAGGCCAGTTGACAATTGCGGCTTCGAGCATTGGGTTTTGGATTCTGGGTGTGGCACCCGGTCTTGACACAAACGAGCTTTCAACTTCCTGATAAGTAACTAGCTCAGTCTTTAGGATGCACTCTTTTCGGGACCTGAAGAAGGATTTCGGATTTCAACAAGGGCAGTTTGGATAGCTGCTACAGATAATCTTGTCATATTGCGAGCTTCAAGAAGTTCATGTGATGGCTGCATCATGCCAACGATAGAAAGCTTTCAATCACACCAAAGTATTTTCAGCTGTCGAGGGTTTGAGGCTCCCGATAGCTAAACGCCTTCTGTATTTCGGTCCTTACAGCCACCAATCCTGGAAGGTGCAAATCCAAGTTTGATCCGCGAGTTTGACCCGATCGCTACACGCTTGGCCAAGGCTGTGGGGGGGGGAGGGAGGGAGGGGGATTGGGTTCTTGGGAGGTTTACTATGCTCGGGGTCTTCGGTCGATTTAGTGAATACTCGCTGATCAACTGTAGCAAGATTAGCGATGCATACAGGGAAGCAGACCGTCTGGGGCAGTCGGACGTCTGAACAGAGCAGGCTTGCATCTGGAGAGGATGTGGTTGCGCCCGCAGGCGCAAAGAGAGACCTAAGTTCATAGTGATTGGAGTTCCTAGCAGATGCAAAGCAATTTCGCGCGTACAATTCAATCGCATGCCGAAGGCTGTGATTCGAGGTTGGCTTGCGATCACAGCTTTACAGCATGCCGGGTGGGCATCAGGAGAAGGCCAGCAGAACTCGAATCACAACGAAATGGCTTCGGTCGAGCGCCTAAACTTGCAGTCAGCAAAGTAAAGGTCATGCTTGTCTCAAGTCCAGAATCTTGGCAATCACGCCTGCAATCGCCGAGACGGTCCTTGCATTAGGCTTCGGTCTCGCTTGGCCCGTCTGAGCCTGGAGTGTCGTTACGTCTACGTATGTCTCAGTGCATGTGGCTCGACAAAGACCAGCAGGAAGGCTACCACGTACTCCTGCCCCACGTGCACGCGAATCAAAAGACGAGGCCTAGTGCGGAGCAACTTGCCATTTTCCTGACACTTAACCGTAAACCATGCATCCCAAGCCATATACCCAAATGCTCGTAGTCAGGAGGTGTGATGGGTTTGCAGCTTGAAGCATTGCATGTTTCTCAGCATGGCCCCGGTTTAGCCACGTGCTCTTTTGATACAACTTGCAGGTCGTGGTTTAGGGCTTTGGGTTTTGGGCTTCGCCCTCAGGATTGGCCGCTCTCTACGCATAAATGAGCCCTTTCACACGGTCTGACTCTCGCATGCAAGCTTTTGATACTCGGGTGTCGTTGGTCAGAGTGGAGATACGCTCAAAGCATGAACATTGCCGCAGGCCCGGAAAGGTTTCTGAGAAGGATTTGGAGGGCCTGCTGCAAGATTTGCCTCTTGGATTCAAGGCTTGCTAGCGTCTGCCTTTCTGCCAGTATTTGGAGCCTCGAGCCGTTTGCTGTTTTCTAAATTGACGCGAAGCCTTGAGATTTGCTTGGGTGTCTTCTCAGAGTCGCGCGTTGATGTGCTGATCTTGTTCCGGACCTTTCCTTTACTCAGGCTCCCCATGTGACCGCCCCCTAACCAACGAAAGCCACTCGTGCCACGCCACGAGGGCCAACGACCGCTGTGAGAAATAAAGCGGCCTGGGATCCAATGAAGAAATATCACTTTTTGTGTCGGATTGGACAATAGATTGGTCAGTGAAACTCCCGTGGGAGTGCAATCCGAAACACTACGTCCATTAACAGGAACCTGCGATATTGCGCTTAGAATCTTAGTGTTCTTGCCACTTGCCACAATAAAAAACCACAAGATCCTAGAATCCACATTCGCAACGAGGAACGAAGCCCTGCAACGAAGTTCTCCTGCAGCCTTGATCTGGTATAAACTAGTCGGAGTGGTGCTGCAAAGCCACAAGCTTAATTCTATCGCCTGCACTGAGAACGGTGGCAGGGCTTTGAGGTTAAGAGCTCAGGCTTTATGAATTCGGGGTCAAAGACTAGAGAATTGGCACAAACCACCCGAGCTCTCGTGGTCAAGCCCTTGCATCCTCGAAGCTGCTACTGCATCTCTCAATGCAGAAAGACTTCAAGCCTCCGGCAAGGGCTTGAATCCAGAACCCAGCAAAAGTTAAGGCCACTAATGCTAAGCCTGCTAAGCCTCACAACCTGACGACAAGAAAATCCTGAATACGGCCTCAGCCTCAAGACCGGAAACTACAAGTCATTAAGCTGCCAGCATAAATCCAAAGATCTCCAACTGGGATCGACTGGATAGCCGAAATCCTCAATTCCATGCTGGTGCATGCTAACCTGCGAACCGACGTCGACTAAAGGCTCCGGAAGAGTGGCCGTGAAGAGGTTGCCGTGCTGCTGGGCAAGTCCTGGGGAGGCCCGGTTAAGGCTGTCAGGCTGGTTAAGGGGGATTGGACTTTAGGGTGGACGGCTGTAGGGTCTGGAGTCTGGGGTGTAGTGGTCAAGTGTGATGATGGCGGATTTCGGGCTTTCGGACATGTCTGAGAACAAACGAAGGGATGCACGAGGACCAGGCTGACTGGTTATAGATTGTTCGGGCCATCCAATGAGTTCCTCTCTCAGACTAATCGGTTGGGTGAAATGTTGCTCTGACAATTACCACACGCCTTGTTAACCTGATGGTCGGGTGTTGGTTCGTGGACGAGGTGTTCTGCATTGCCATTCTTGTTGCGGCCGGTCGCAGTGTGCAGTGTACAGGTAAGTGGCTGCATGATAATTCTTCAGCTCTAGTGAAGCAGCTCCGTAACTTGTCTTTGTCATGCTCATGCCCGATGGAGTGAAGTTTGATGATTTGGCATGGCACAGGAATCAGGCTGCTGCACGGCTAATGTCCAGGATCTTTACGTAGGCTTCAGAGGAGCCAAGCTCTTTGCTCGATGTTCGTCCCGACAGCCATCCCACCCTCTTCTTGTGCATGAATATGCATCCACTCTGAACAGCCTTCCATTGCAATCGTTTCAGGCACGAGAGTAGCAGCAACTTTTCTGTAACTGCTGCAGGTGGTATGGCCTCATCCCTGGCCGGCAGCGATGTACTGAAGGCCGACCCATTGGCTTCGAAAGCCAAGGCTTTCAGGATTGGGCCTCGATGCTGGGGGGTTTACAGTCGGAAGCAAGGTCGAGGAAAGCCAAACTAGAAGCATTGGTGGACAGACGCGCTGCCCCCGTCAATAACAGATTTTGTTATTTCCCTGCGCGCACAGTTTTGAACCTCAAGCTCAAGAAGCCATCGCAATGTTCCTGCCTGTCCGGCTTGCAGTGTCGCTTCATGCCGGGCAGCAGACGAATCATTCGTCGAACAGGCCGACCCCAACGAAGGGCTCATGCCAACACAGTGCTAACAGCGCACGAGCATTTCTCAACAACATCCACTCGCTGCCTTTGCCAAGGCTTTTCTTTATGTTCGTTTCCTCCAAGTCATGAAGCCTCGAACTTGTTGCGCAAAGCATCAGGCATCTTCTGCTCATGGCATGCAGCTTTCAGAAGCTCAGCATGTTAAACAATCCCATGCGTGATCTACCCCAAACGAAGGATCTGTTTGTCGAGCAGGTTGTTTCAGTTTGCGCATGGCCTCGAAACGCTGTTTTCGTGACTTGACTAGAAACATTGGTGTTAGGATTTTCGCAAGCCCACGGGGAGGAGATCGATTAGTGTGCCACATCTCTGTCATAATTTGCTTTCAGCTGCAAGATTATGTCAGATCTTGGCCTGAACCTCGGATTGTGATCAAAATACCAAGTCTTGATTGCAAGCAAGCACAAACCGTGGGTTGCCAACTTTTCCGGAAGACGAAGCCAGGCGCCAAGGTGTTTGAGCATTTCTTGAATCTTCAGGTCGAGGACGCCAATGATGTCGTCAATTCTTCGCTCGAACGCTCAACCCTGACACTCAAATCAAAAAAGAGTTGGAGTGGGAGCCTGATTGGTTGGAAGTATTGCGATTTCACGTGACTTGTCATGGTTTATAGCTCGGAAGCCGGAAGCGGACAGGTTCAGAAGCTGGTCCTCGTCGCTCCTGCACACGCGGAGCCCTCGTCATGGCAGGAGACCCAGATTCGTCAAACCTGTGTGTTAACAGATTAGCTTCTTGAGCTCGTGGGTTTTGGGTTTGCAAGCTGTGGGGTCAGACTTCAGCACTTGCGTCGGTAATTCACTCTAAAAGACACTGCTTCCTAGAGTCCGTATGGCAGCTACCACTGAAATTCCGAGATGAGCGGTTTGGAATTCTGGCCCGAAATGCCTTCCCGGAGAAATGGCGCCTTTTGAACCCTACCTACCCGCCTGGCTCAAGGCCTACCTCCCTCCCGGTCGCTGTGTTCTGGGCGGAAGATGATGCTGTGGTTCGGAGGGGACAGGGAGAGCAAGGGTCAAAGTTCAGCGAGGACTTACAGCTTTGAGTTGTGGCTTCGGGTTTCGTTTCGTAGGATCGGTGGCATCGCGGGATGCGTTGGGCCAATATGCAAATAGGCATCACTACTTGGGCAGGCTTGGATGTAGTACCAAATCGCGAGTTGAGGTGGCGGGTTTGGGGTTCAGGGCATGTGCTTAGGGCTCGAGTTTGTCTCGACTGAGGTTTTGGTGGGAATCGAAGATCAATTTGCAGGTGTCTGAGTCATGTTGTCCCCAAACTCCCAATCCAAACAATCGGTGCAAACCGCGGTCTCAACCCAGAAGCCAGGCGTGCCGAGACAACCTTCAAGCTTGCAACAGGAGATTCAACTTGCCCGGTGGTCTTTTCCCAAGGACTTAATCGGTGGTTTGAGGTCCGGGCTTTGGCACTTCGGGCCTTGGAGCGAGGTCCCAACTCCCCACAACCAGGAGCTACGACAGCCAACGCCTCTCAACTCTCTAGCAGGAAGCTTGGCGATGCTTCTCTAGGATGTACTGGAGTCATCTTAGGATCAAGATTGCAAGAAACGAAATCGAAGGGTTTGAGGACAAGTCCCTAAACCTTCAATCTAAAAATGCAGAACTCGCAGTTACACGATATTTTCGAACTCTTGAATTGCATGTTGTAAAAAATCCGTGCAGGTCCCACTGCCAACCTCACCAAGTCTCCGCACGCTTCGCGGCCGAAAATCTCCCCTGGCAGTTGCCGAGAGCCTAAGCTGGACACTCTAAACTCTAAACCATCCCTCCCAAGAAGCGAAATCCTGTCACACAAAAGCCGACAGCCACCCTCAGTCCGAAATCTCAAGATGAGCCGCTCATGCAGTGACGCTGAACCCGAAATTCCTATTTAATTGCACCACTCCCCATATACCTAGATGGTACATCTACTAAGTTCAGGCGGTTGCGTGGATGCCTGCATGGGCACATGTCCTGTTTGCAGGGTCCACGAAACAGTTTCCAACGGATGCTGTGTCTCTGTGTGGAACCAACTTTTGCAAATCTTATGTCCGGAACGTCGAAGGCTAGGCTCCAAGTGTTGAGCTATTTTGAGCTGCAGCAGTGAGCAGTGGCCAATTGTTTTCCTTCCTGTGGTTTCGGGATCCACACTCGCGGCTCGTGCTTTGCTGAGGCGAGTGCAGCTATTTCACACCGAGCCCACAGGCACAGCAAGGATGTCCTGATTTCGCAGCAATGTGGATTCAGGCTTTATGGTGATTTCAACGTCAGGCTCCTGTGACTTGCCAGGCGCGTGGCACACGCACTTGCGAAAGACTCTTGAAGATGTCAGGGATGGTTTTGCAAATTGCAGGTGGCTAGGCCATCCACCCAAAAGCGCAGAGCGGAAGCTTGTGGAAGTCAGCAGTTGGCAGCACTTGGCCTAGTATAGCCGTGGTTGCCTGCAGCCCCGAAACCTTTACGTAGATTGCAGCCTGCTGCAACCCCGGAGGACATTGTAATTAGCCCAAGCCACCAAGTGCGATCGACAGCAGCTTATTTCCTACTTCGCAAGTAGCCGAAAGACTTGCCGCGAGCTCACTGCTTCGATTCCCGCGTTTAGTACTAGAGGGTGGTTTAAAACCTTCGGGTTTGTAGCAACTAGATTTTAAACGTTCCAAAAGCATCGGCTCTGGGTTTTGAGATGTTTGCACGGCTGGGTGGAGTGCACCTACTATGAGTATTTCGCAGCTGGAACCGAAAAGCCCTGAGCCAGCTAAAGACCTGGCATGCCTGACATGCAAATCAAATATTCGCAAACCCTTGTCCGAAGTTCTTCAAGACAGGTGGGCATCGGGTGCTCTCCAGCTATGTAGAGCCCATCGCCAGCTTCGTTCGCGCATCTGCGGCTACCGAGGCGAGAGACTGAACCTGAAACCCCACACCGAGTAGGCTTCATGAGCCCGAGACGCTAGCTCAACACTTCCTTCGTTGGGCTTCCATGCATGGTGCGTGAGATTACATCCTACCGAACTGCGCGCCGAAACCCTCAAGCCTGAAGCCCTGCCTGCGCACATTCTGTTTTAATCCACGCCTTCATATCCGTTAAGCTCCTGAGCCCTCCGTCAGATGAGTTTCGTTTTCGATGTGAAATGTGAAATTCCCTCCCTAAGCCAGCCCAGGGCGCACTGATGTCCACTCATGCCTTCATATCCGTTAAGCCCCTGAACCCTCCGTCAGATGAGTTTCGTTTTCGATGTGAAACGTGACATTCCCTCCCTAAGCCAGCCCAGGGCGCACTGATGTCCATTCATGTCATGACACGCGGTTCTGCATCTTTCCCAAATCAGGTGTTTCAAGTGACTAGAGTCAGAACAGAACCATGTCTGGGCCCGAGCCTACAAGCCCTAAATCTCAAGACTGGGAACCTGCTTCCTCCTCTAGCACCAAGGTGGATGCCAAAGGCGTGCCAAAGAAATCAGGGCTAGACACTCAGCTTGGGCCCGGGTTGAGGGTAATGGTTGTTTTTTGAAGGATCCTATGTGAGGGGGAGGGGAAGACCCCTGGCTCTGGCTTTCTCCCCGACGGGAGAACCTGTTGGTTCCGTCGGTCCGGAGTTTGGAGGACGAGTTCGTACAAGAAGAGACAGCTAGAATATAGATTGAATGAAGAGACAAGATATAGGCAATTATGTGAGACTTTTGGTCTCCACCCGCCGGTGATGATTGCAACAGTCTTTTTCATAGGCTTATTGCTTAGGTTGTGAGCAATCTGATCTGTGGACTTTTTCGGGTTTCCTAAGCACGCCCTTGTGCCGGTGAAAACATGACCTATCATGGTAGCTTGTTCCGAGCAATCTGGTTGGATAAAGTAATGTCTCCACTCGGCAGAGACCTGATAGAGTGGCTTGGTGGTGTTATACTGCATTGTCGCGAAGGATAAATTGGCCTTGCAGGGCTGCACCACACAATGCGAGCTCTCTGGACTCTCACCCAAACCAGGCCTGCATCTTAGACCTTGAGCGCAAACGCCAAACAGGAAAGTTGACACTGCCAGAGAATCCCGTGCGGAGAAGGCAAAGCTCGGACGAGGGTTTTCGGCACAGGGTCTTGGCCTGTAGGGTGCACGGCTTAATGTTCGACAAGTGAGGGATGACGCGGCAACGGATGGTGTGGGAATCTGCACGGTCCAGTCGGGTTTCTCGTGGTGTTAGTGTCACAACTCCATGTCGTGCTTGTTATGGGTGGTGGTCATGACGATCATTGTGAAGAGACGAGGACGAGTAAGACGAGTAAGATTATTGATGGTGTTGCTGCTGACGATGACGATGATGATGGGGGAGGGCAAGGAGGTTGATCTTCTGTGTCCTGGGGGATGGTGGTGATGATAAAGAAGAGGATGATGACAAAGACGAAGACGAGCAAGCTGAGATTGTTGTTGATGGCATTAATGGCGGTGATGATGTTTGTGATGATGATGGCTGATCAAGAGGATGATGGTGCTGTTGTTGTGGTGGAGAGGTTTCAGGACAACGACAGGGTTGAGGCTGCAGGGTTTCCAGTGTTCATGCGCGAGGTTCAAGCGGCGGGCTCTTAGCATCAATTTTGGAGTTTGTGACTGCAAACGAGGCGTTCTGCTCGAGCTACATAAGTTTTAATGATTGCGGAAACGGAGGAAGGCTTAAGCCTTTAGCTGTGACGGGCTCAAGGATTTTCGGAGCGGATGTAGGCGGCCTGGTGCTGTAGCAGTAAAAATGCAAGAGGGCTTTACGTCGGGAGTTTAGGGTGTTTACAGACTGGGGTTCGGGGCATATGGGCAGCCTGGAGGTCGTTCTTACACACCCGCACGCGGACCAGCTGTGAATGTTCTTGACGTGACACCCCACTGGTCCATAGAAAGAGAAAAAGGTGCACCGTTGCACCCACAACTTCTGAAGCCCTGGGCAATAACAGTTGAATCTTCCACCAAGAACTTCAAGTCAGAACTCAGGCCGATCAGGGAAATAAGCCACACAAGACTGGTCAAGTTCAGGAAGCCATCGAGGAAGCCAACACGGTACACACACAGACCACCCATGAGTTCTCCTGATCCAATCTTCAACTCGTTTAAGGTCATGCGTTTGCGTGAGTTTATGCGAGCGCAGTCGACCAACGAATCGCAAGCATGCATTATCGTGTCAATAGCCCCATGACCTCTTGAATGTGAAAACTTGGCTAACGAGGCACATGCCAAATAGTAATCCCATGTCTAGTTGGTAAGGCTGTGGCAATTTGCGAGGTAATCGTTTGTCATATTCGCAACAGGTTATGATTTTTTCACGGGCTTGGCAAGAGATTTTGGGGGTGTTACAGACATGCAAAGTTATGTATTCAGCTGTCCTGTAAGTAACCCGTGCACCGAAAAACTCTTGTTTTGTGTTATGGCGACTCCGCCGCAAGCAAGAACACTCGCAGGCTGTGAGAGAATAGACTGCGTTCTCCTTGGCAGCTTTTGGTGTGCTCCGTGAGAGTATGAGAGTCATTAGAGTTTCTGGAGGTACTCGATTACATTGACTTCGCTTGACAGCTGTACGGCTGTACCCTTCACAAATGTGCAGATCCTACTCTTTGTCCCCACCCATGAGGTCTGGTCGTATTGAGTTTGTAGCACATTTCTACTATGAAGGATTGAAAACTGAACCGACCCCGCCACAAGTCATGACCTGACAAGCTCCAGACCCGGGCATTATTGCATCCTGAGCCGCTCATTCGTTGTACTAGAGTTCCTAGTCATCTTGTTGGATGCCTGAACTTTGGAGCTCACAATCAACAGATGTAAGGTTCTCGGGTTTACAGCAGCCTCGAAGGTTCAAGAGTTGGAGGAGCAGCCAATATCTAGCACTGGTTCGACCAGCTTGGAAAATGCTCTTGTGCACCAGAGCTGTAGAACCTTCACTAACATGCTTCTCAAAAGGACAACCAGTTGTTACCTCCGGCTTCTCCAAGTAGGGTCGTGAGTAAAATCCCCCGGGAGATTCTGGCCCTGATCGCCGCCTTTGTAACCATGGGCGCCTGCTTGGTCTTCGTGCGTTGGTCTCGGATCTTTGCCGAGCTTGCGGGCTTCTGACAGGTTTTTCAGCTGAGTGTTTTTAATCCAGGTTTCTGGTGCAGGAACAAGAAGCTCGTTTTCGGTTCGGGATCATTTCATTAATTCCTGGGCCTTCTGGGCCCTCTTGTTTCCTTTTGTTTGGGGTTGTCAGTGACGGGACTGAGCTCTTGGGGAGACCGTGGCAGTGGTCCTTGGTACTTGACTTGGCTTAACTTGAGTGTTGGTGGGCTGTTGAGCTTTTGTGGATGCTGTCGAAGGCTGTTTGTATGATCTGGTCGCTTCTGATCTTTTGAATCTAAACAGCAACAATCAAGCGAAAGTGAAAGTTTTTTGAAGCTTCACGGATGCACCTCTCAAGCCTCAGGGCTAAGCTCAAAATGCTCGAACAGAAGAGGCAGAGGACAATCTTGTAGATAGCATGCAGATAAGAAGATAAGAACTCATTCAAAATGCCGAAAACACTAGCCCCATGAAGGGCGGCTCAGAGAAATCTACGACGGTCGGGCTGATTCGATAGAAAGTGCCTAGCCAAAAGGACCCGTCAACTACGGACGTTGGGGCGCAGAGTCCGGCTCGGAGTCCGGAGTCCGGCTCGCGCGGTTGAAGCTGCAAACCCTCATGCCCAGGCAACGGCGAAAAACTGCGGCACAGATCAAGCGTAGCCGACCGCAGAAGATTGGAGGAGCCTTGGAGTAGCGAAAACAGAGCTTCGGGGCTTTTGGGCTTCTAAAGCCGCTTGATGGAATGTTTGGGCTTACGGCTCTAGTAGCGTTGTTTGGGGAGGGCAGTATCTCTGTCAGGTCTCTTCTCCTGCAATTATTTTAGCAGGGCTTGAGACTTGGTGTCGAGCAGCCCCTGTAGGGGCCTTTTTTTTGGATAGTATATGAGTGCGTTCCTGCTTGGTGTTGCCAAGACCTGAAACAGGCAGCTGTCCAACTTGGACGGTAACTGTAACGGTTTCCAGCGGTCAGGGAATGACAGGGTCTTAATCGCGACATGCAGAAACAAGCACTTGCTGCTGTGGCTCAAGTCCAGAAATTGCAGCTGGTTCCCTACCATGGGATCCACTGCCCGCTTCTTTGCTGCAAGGACTCGAATAGGAGATGTGGCTTTGACGGCGCGGGCTGTGTTTCCAGCGCAAAGCGCACTTGTAGTGTCCTTGCCTGTAGCTTACATGCAAGTTTTTGTCCAGGTCCTGTAAATCCTGGAATGGTATCCAAACTATGTAGGTCAGGTGCTGGGCTGCATATCCTCAGACCCAAAATCCAGACCCTGTCGCCAGTTTGCTCATCCTCACAGAGGTCACATGATTCAAGGCTGAGATAGAAAGCTGCTAGACTCTATATAGACAAACGACAGCCGCCAACAAAGCCTGGAATCTGCATATTCGACCGCGCAGGCCTCGATGGCAAACCCCAAACCCTGAGAGCTTCAGAGCCCTGTGACACAACTCCACTACAGTACCTTTCTGAGGCCTTCCAAGATGGTCGAGGCGGAGGTGACGAAGGTCAGCAGCTTTAGGGTTTAGGGCTCAGTGTTGAGACGTTCGAGGATCTCCGCCGGGTGATCGGGGTGCTGGGTCGTCCCAGGACAGATTTCAGAATGCTCAAATTAAACAATGGCTCCCCAGAGCCCAAGATTGCATCTCAAAGGATGGTGCCCCTGTCAATTTGGATTTCGAATCTCAGTAGGGCTTGTGAACGGCTCTGCGCAACCACAGCGTCGTTTCGTCTCGCTGGGTGATGCAAGCATGTATCTGCATTCTCGGAGCAGGCATCTGATGGAGACTGCACGGCACATACACGAGTTTCATGTTCCCGTGAACTCACCTGCGTCTCACCCCACGACCCTATGCACATCAGCCTTCCGTGAGCTTTAGAGTTGTTCACGACTATAGGGCGCTTGTTTGGGGCTGATACCTGCAAACCAGTAGAAGAACCCGGGGCGCAGTGACAAGTGCTTGAGCAGCACATAACAAAGTAAGCATCCCAAAACAATCCAGAGAGAGAGAGAGAGAGGTGTCATCTTCCGGCAAGGGAACGGGCCCCTGTGTTGTCTCCGCTCCTAGAAAGGGGTTAAATGCAAACGGGGCGATGGGCTCCGAAAGCGTCATGGCCCATCGCGCGGCAGATCAAAGCAAAAGCACAAGGATCTCAGAATCTCAAAGCCGTCTCCTAGTAACATGCTGAGGGCTGTAAATGTGAAAGGGTGAAAGAGAACATCGCCACCCCAGGTCAGAATGTGTTCGACTTGCTGGCATCCTTGTAGTGAAGTGGGTACGATCAATGGGAGCCGCCAGCTGCGTTAGCAAGACCCAGGCGCACTCCCAAAGGGATAAAGGTGTCACAGTTTTGGTTACGGTCGAGGAGGGAGCACCGATGCCGAGATGTGCGAGGGCGAGCAGCACCAACGCTACGACCCGCAGAATTGATCGGGGAGCACCACTGCTGCAACGCTGCACATGGGATATGCGATGCCAATACACCGCGGCAATTGTACCAGCCACTCTACCGAAAAAACCTTGTACCAGTTCCAATTGATGCCAACCAGGCCATCCCAAGACCACGGTGCAGATGTCGTCCGACCACCAGCTACCGTCATCGTGGCCCAGGGAGTCGCCAGCTGTTGTGGCACGGCCCAAGCGCACTCCCACCAAAAGGACTAGCCACTCAAAAGCTCTCCAGTTCCAATTGCTGCGAACGAGGCCATCTCAAGACCAAGATGTAGATGTCGTTCTAACGGGTTTGGGCTTTGGGCTTTGGGAGGACCACCAGCTGCCATCGTCGTGGCCTAGGTGTACCCTCAGAAGCCGCCAGCTGTCTTAGCAAGACCCAAGCGCACTTCTAACAAAGCGACGAAAACTATCGTCCGACTCGCACGTGTCTTTATGGTGAGCTTGGGGAGGGCCACCAGCTGCCATAATCGCGAACCAGGGTGCATCCTCAGGAGCCACTGCTGTCCTAGCAAGACCCAAGCTCACTCCCAACA